CTGTTTGCTCCCCCCTTCTTTGTAACAGGATGCATCACTTCAATACAAAGCTTAGCTTCCTTGCTAACAAACAAGACAGCATCCCCCTGCGACACAAAGGATTAGTGCAACCCAGTTTTATGCCATAAGAAACCCGAGGGTACAATGAAAGATGAACTTTTGCACTTCCACTTCTTTCCTCTCTCCTCCACCTGCTCTGGCTTCTGGTCTGTCTGCCTTTAACCATAAGGAAAGAAAGGCTGGAGATGAGTCTTTTTCACTTCTGCAGTCTTTAGAGCTACAGAAAAGGAATGAAAAGCAACTAGGCTGTAACTCATACTCGTTAGTGCCTGCAGAACAAAAAAGATGGATCTTGAGGAGTCCTATTATTTAATGTTAAATATTAATACAACTGTTCATGTAGCTCTGGGGTGTAAATTTCACTGTTCAGTAGGTCTTGTCTGATGTCTCTTCTGCAGTACAAATCCTTCTGAACTCTGTGGAAGGGAACTGCGTCCATACAGGAGGAATGGATAGACACTGCCTATGTTGTATGTGAAATCTAGGTGAGCTTTGTAAGACTTGAACAAATGCTGACCTACTACTGGCAAAACTATTTTAAATGTAATGCAAATCTTGAAATAAGAGTTTCTCTTTATACTTTTATGTAGACAAGTCCCTTGATACCTGGCCAACTGCAATTTTTTTAATGGATGAATGGATTAGTGAGCAAAACTTTCTGCTGTGGTGTCTCTCTGACATAATCTTCATATACTAAACAGCAGGGTTGGGTGTCCACCAGTCTGTGACACACTAGCCCTTTTTTAAACTCTGATATGATAAGCTAAATGAGTCTTTAGGAACTTAAGGTATGTTAGCAAGTGTTTTAGCTGGGAGTGGAGTGCTTTTTTCCAGTTGACTATTTTACCTGTGTGCCGCTGTATGGGTCAGTACGTAGTATGCTTGGATCTACCAGAATAAATGACTCCAGAACTGTGGTTGAAACAGTTTCTGTTCATGCAGTAGCTGTATTGCTGTTACCAGATCTGCTTAACATGAAAAATTTTTTAAGTATTTCAGGTGAAAGCCTTAATCAGGTGCCTGCCCCTTAAGGTAGGCTCACATGTGGTGTTGTATAGACTGAAACATGACTGTCCTTAAAATTGGGGAGTTTAAGAAACTATCATGCCAAAGGGCAAGAGTCTGGATTAGATGGGCTTGACCTTGCTCCAGTGGCTGTAGCTAATCACTTCAGGTGGTTGCTTTAGCTGCTTGCTCCTTGTAAGTATTTTAAGTGCTCCTTGTAAGTATTTTAAGTGGTCCTGATGATCAGGCAGTAGATATAAGCAGGAGGTGCCCTATGTCCCATGCGTACTCCCTGTGCAAGTCTGGCTGAAATAATACCCCATATTCCAGTGGTCTTGCACCGTTGTCCTGTCCAATATTAAGACCTGCATTATGGGTTCATAACTTAAACTAAGAAAGCAAGTGCTATTCTGGCTTGGTGTTTGTTCTCCCAGAGCAAGGTGGAGATGGTCCCTCTACAGCCAAGCTGAACTCCTTAGGGAATACTTGTCTGTTTTCTGAGCAGGTGTTTACTTGTATCGCAGCCACTCTCCTTCAGTGGTGCCCTGTCCCCGCCTGCTCAAGAGCAACTCAACTTAGGCCCAGAAGGCTACTAAATCCCCTGCAATCTCTGCAAAGCAGAGTTCCCCTCCAGGTCAGGGTTGAGATGGTGCTAGTGGGACCAGAGTGGTCCCCTTCCATGTGCATCAGTATTCTACTCTAGCACCGATAGGGTGCTCCAAAACCATTTACATCTTTATCACCGGTACAGCTCAGAACTAAGAAATGGAAGGTTTCTTTCTTTAAGAACAATATCATGTGTGTCTTTTTGTAATTAATCAGTGTGGTTCTGTGTTCTTATGTATCCAACACAGAACTTGTATTTAGATTTAGTTCTTACTGCACTTCCCATGGCCCTCATGTTGATACTTCTTCCTGCTTCCTTTGACACTTAGACAATAAAATTCCCTCTGTACTGCTCTCAGCTTGTGCAGAGAAAACAACATGTCTGTACTGTCTTTCTTTCCAATTTAAAATTTTCCTGTTGTCAGACAGTTTATGTACAGATGCCCTGTACTTGCAACACTATGGACACAGAAGAACCCTCATTCTCCTTCAATCATCTGAACAGGTGAGTATGTCTGTACACACAGGGACAGCTGCCAGAGAATAAAAAGTATGTATGTTGCTGTGTAGCAAAGGCTAAAACTCTCATTTTCCTCTTTAACTACCATCAGTCAAGCTGGACGGAAAAAAAAAAAAGTCAGTGGATGCAGCAACAGAAATTTCTGTCTTGAAACACTACTGTAAGGGTTAACACAAGCCTCTGCTTGCATGGCTCTGCTCTTCAACATATGATCCAGTCTCCCTTCCTGGCCTGAAATGCAATTCTGCTTAAGGTTTGTAGTTTAGTGGCCTTCCAGACTAATGACCTCACCAGGACTTCTCAAGACAAATGCTGGGTTAATAAAGGACAGTCAGCTGCAAGATTCAGTGCATTCCCCCAGCAAGAGGGATCCAACTTTATTCAGGCTATCATCTTTCAGGCATAACATAGCCCTTCTCTCTAGGGAAATGAGTAATAGCTGGGAGCGGGCCAGCATGTACGCAAGCCTACAGGGTGTAGAGGGAAGGAATAAACATCCCCTAACCTGTTACTCCAAAGAAAATGGCACATGCAATAGTCTCCCTTTTAGCTAAGTTAATAATATGAACAACTTCTGCCCTGAGGGGAATTAATTGCACAGCACCTAGTAGGTGGTATGAGAAGACAAAAGAAGAAAGCAGCCACTTCATAAGCCTGCATGGCCCAGGAGCGGAGGGCCATGCCAAGCCCTTGATGGCCTCAAGCCCAGGAGTTGACAATAGACTTCAGCAGCAGTAGAAGGCTTCTTGCTCCTCTATTAAATATTCATTATTATTAATATTTAATAATATTAAATATTAAATAATATTAAATAATAATACTAGCAAAAAAGATTAAAGTGCTGTGACTTTCATAAACCTTTACTTCAGATGCTTGCTTGAAAACACCCTCTGCCGTATGTCTTACAGATTTTGTTAAAAATCAGATAACTCCCTATAGATGTATAGGTCAGAGTGATTGCTAGACAACAGAGTAAGAAAGACAAAACAGTGAAAAATAAGACTTTCTGCTCCCTCTTAGATCAGGCTTTCCCCCTGCTACTGATAGTTCCTGTAGTTCTGGGTTTTTTAATCCATTAGAGATTACGCTACTTGGACTTTAGGGACAAGCCTTTGTTGTGAAAAGGATACACAACCCAGCGAATCAATAATTAAAAAAAAAAATTAAGAAAAAGAAACCCAGTCAGCTACTATGCCAAGAAGCCCAAGACTGTAAAACTTAAGGCTCTCATGCCTAAAAGCATAGAGATATTCATGGCAAAGGTATATGACCCACTGTGGATAGCAGGCCATTACAGATTTCAGTTAACTCAGCTGGGTTGGCTTCCCTGGTTTATATTTTTATTTTGGCAAAGAATGACTGCCATCCCATCTCCAACCTCACTCTGGGGGAGGAAGGAAGGAGAAGAATAGCTTTAGAATAACTGCTGCATTGATCTACTTCCAGCTCAGCAGCAGTTCCTGAAAGTGGCCAACAACTGAATAAACTTAAGACTGTTGTAGAAGGCTTTCCATCCAGAAAGAAAAGACTAAAAAACTAAACAACATTGCTAAGGCTTGAAGTCAAGGGTTTGGGTTTTTTGTATAAAAGGGAAGACTGGATGGAACAAACGCGTCTTTTGTTGTAGCACATGCCAGCGTCTAGCCCAGTCCTTCTCCCACTTGCCACCTCAGCACCTGTGTTTGTCTGACCAAAGTTAGGAAAACTTTTCCAGCTCCACTATACAGCACTCCTATTCCCTTAGAGCACAAGAATGTGCAGTCTAGATCTGAAGTAAAATAAATACATTTTAAATAAAAGGAAAAAGAGCTTCAAGGCTAGAATGACATTTTCAGTGGAAGTTGGAGGATAACTTTTTGACAGGAGAAGCCAAACTTGCACAGCTGACAAAAGGAAGGAGCTTGAGGCATGCCAGCTGCTAAATCAGTCATCTTTGTTATCATTATAGCAGGTGAGTTTTCTACAGACACTCAGATTCATACTTTGAAACACGACACAGTACATTCAATGGCAGTGATGATGCAGCTTGTGCATTTCAGCGTGATGGTGCTCTGGAAAGCACTACAGGCCAAGCAGCTACTGACTGGTAAGGAGCAATCCAATTAACTTGCACAACAGGAAGCCTACAGAAAGGAGATGGTATCCCAGTAAAGCTTCTGTGCGCCTCCTTTAGATGAGCAGCAAAAGGCTTCATCTGCATTTGGATGAGCTATGGACATGTCTGCAAATTCCTAACAGTACATTCAATAAATGTTCATTAGTGAGGTGGTGGCAATGGCAGGAGAAATCACACTGTAGCAACACCTGTCTGCTTTGCAGACTGTTTGCCAACACCACTCTCAAATACCATTAGTAGCAGGACACATACTTTGATCCCTTCTTAAAAGAGGTTCTCTTCGAGATGCTGAACTGTTCTTAGAGCCTCTAAGAGTCTCTTCAGAGAAGAGGAACTAAGGTCAATTATATTTCAGAGTTCTCCTGTGCTTCACAAAGCAGGTGGCATATAGGGCCCTAATGATAAATCTTAAACTTTTTTTTTTTGTTTTATATAACAAGAGTTATTCACATCTAAGTGTTGGTTTCAGGGATCCCCCCTCCCACTAAACTCTTCAGGGGTGAGGGAACTCACTGTCTTACGGCTTGACACTACTAAAATGTTGAGTTTATAATAAAAGAGCCCTAAAGAATTTCACCCACAGCTTTTAACTGAAGAAATACAGCTGCAGAAAAAAAGATAACTGGATATGGCAGTCGTGGGAAAACAGCTGCTGGAGAGATACCTCATAAGGGAAAGGCATGGAGAAAGACCTCAAGCAGCAGCCAAGTTTCATTTATTGAGGAAAGGAAAGAAACTAAAGCAATTATATTGTTTACTGCTCCTTCCATCCTGTGTAATTGGGAAAACTGGTTATAAAGAGCATCCTCATGAAGTGATGAACTTAAAACTCTGAGAAAGTGAAGGAAGTCCAAATTCTATCTAAATAGCGTAACTAAATACAGTCTAGCAGCTGTGTGCAATCTAAGCTGTTGTATAGCAAAGATACTTTGTCTAAAGTGTTTGTCTCTACAGCTACAGAGTCCTGCAGCTCAGGAGACTGGTAACAGGGTGTAACACTGCCAGTGGTCTCTGGCATCCCCTCCCCTGAGCACCAGTCTCCCCGAGCTTTGCATCACTACTGAGGTGATGCAAATGATCCTACCTCTATGATACCTTCCTTCTCTGAGTACAGCAGATACTCCTGTTGCTCCACTTTCATAACCATTTTGCAGACCCCTTCTGCAATTCATCAGAAAGCTGCGCTAATGACAACTAGTGATGCATTTAGGTCAGGAAAGAGTGTTCTGAGCTACATGGGGAACCTTGGTTCTGCTTCCCACCACGAGCTGCTCATTAGCACAGCCTCCTATTGTATCACTGTGTGCTATTCTTAAAGCATCACAGAACACATTTTCTCCCTACAACTATATACTAGTTACTATTTTAGCAGCAGGGATGCTTTCTACCCACCCAATCTCCAAACTTCACCTATGGTCTCCCACAGCCAGATACAGACATTCACAGGTCTTCAGATCAATTTCATGTTAACTCCAAATTGCTCTAGAACATAAGGGTTTTTTTCTTTCCTGAAACTGTTAACTCTGTAGGGGTCTATACCAGAGCTTCAGGTCAAAACAACCACAGCAATCAACTCTTCAAGTCTGCCTTTGTCTCTCTGTATGCAGTCACTAGCAATGGTCCTGCATTTCTGCAACAGTCTCACCTATGAATGCTCATGGAATCATGTGTGAGCCAGGGCTTCAGGAGCTGCAGACCCCTCTGGGAGGTTTCTAACCTTCAGAAAGAAGAATCAGAGGACTTGCAGGCATTGTCCTGGGGTTTCTCAGCACATGACTCCATATCCAGTGTCCAACAGCTTAACCATTCCAAGTTCGTACCATACCATTTCATGTATCGATTGACCTGTGGAACATTAGATTCTCCAACAAAATATAGCTGGAACCTTAAGAGCTCCCTGAGAGATGCCTTCATACAAGTTACCCAAAGAAAAGTCAAGTCTTTGGTTTAAATAAATATTTCTTTAAATAAATAAAGAAGCACTTGTGATGTTGAAGCACAGCTCCTACACCTCAGTTACATCACAGGATTGGCAGGGTGCTTCGGCCAGTGCAGGGGCAACCAGTTCATCTGATGGTGCACCGTGCACACCTTATGGGTCTCAATAGGTGGGGCAGGAAGGCTGCTTTCACACAAACACACCCCCCTCATCAACTGACCATCGGAGCTAGCCAGCAATTACAACTGAAGCAGACAGGCAAAGCTGTAAGTGCCAACACTGTGTCACGGTGGTTTTTGTTTTGCTTTTAGTTGTTTGTTTTTAAACTTTTAGTGTCTTCCAAGTTTCCTATTACAATGTTACCAGCTGGTGGGGAGTTATATGCAACCAGGCTGCTTTCTGGCAACCTCTTTTCAAGCCTGGCAGAAAATAAAGCTTTCAGTTCACCAATTTCTCTCTCTTCCCCTCCATTTACAAATGCAACCAACTACCAAATCAGAGTAAGAGTACCTGCAGAAATTAGTGCAACTGTCAGACAAACAGAGCCATAGAAATACACAGCTCTCTATGTACAAGCACCAGCGCCAGGCCAGAACCATCACCTGTGAAACTAAGGGTGAAGCTGCAAACCTATTCACCCCCAGACTGCTGTTCACTTACACAGACTCCTACGTGTTATCCCAACTGGGGTAGCAAAAGCCATCCACACGCCACCAGGCAAATACCACACCACCTGGCAGGGAATATGCAGTCCTTACACAACCATATAGGCACAGAACACAGTCCCCACACGCACACCCTTGTATCTGTAGAGTTTACAGAAGTGAGCTGTAAAAGATCAGCAGTACTTGCTTTCTTTGGGAGGAGGGGAAGGGTTCCTGAATGTAAACCACTTTGCAAGACAAGCCAAAGGGCAAATAAATCATCTCTGTGATTTGGGGACATGCTGGGAGACAACAGCTAAGCCCACTCATTCCGTCTTTTGAACCCTCGTTACTGCTATCTTGTGTAGCTAATTTGTCCCCTCCTCTTTCACATCCCAGCCAAGAAAGCCTTGCTGAGCAAGCCCTCAGAGGGTTCAGCTGCCAGGAGCACGAGGTGCTGCAATTACTTTGTATATTTTTTCTTAATTAGAAAAATTTTATTTTTCAATAAAGAAAGTAACATTTAAAATATGAAAGTCCCCCAATATAACTCAGGAAGAAAGAACAGTATTTCAAGCGTCCTCGTACCCTCCCACAAGAATCTGAGGTGGGACCAGATTTCTCTGCCTCATTTGTGAACAGAAGATTGATAATGTTTCTGCCAATGTTGCTCGCATCTCTCACATCTGAGCATCAAATGTCAGGCTGAACTGGGGAATCTGCCCTAATAACAGGTACAGTTCTATTGGTTTTCTACTGGCCAGGCCACGGCTGACAAAAGCACACTGACAGGACACCAAAGGTACACTGGCATCCAAGTGATTGACAATCTTACCCCGAGTTACACAACCTTCCCCTCCCTCCCGATGCCTGTCAGGAGACAGGAGTCAGTCCTACAGGTCCTAACTTACCTAACCATGGTTGGCTCCAGATGAAGGCAGTAACATGAAGTTCAGTCTGTCACAGAAGGATGCTACTGGTTGGTTATCTGACCCCTGGCAGGCTGAATGGAATAGGAAGGGCACAGAGAAAGAGAAGGGCAAGTGACAAGTATCAGCCCTTCCATCTGAAGGCTCTGCTGCCTCTCACAGGCCTTCCATTTTCATTTCTCTTTCGGGACCTCCCAGAGCTACAGCCTCCTGGGGTTGTCACGCCTTACAGGACAATTTTTTCCACCTGATATTCACTGGGAGGATCATAAGCATTTTTCCAACAAGGCAGGTATCATTCTGACACTGCTAAAAGGAAGGAAACCTTCCCCAAGGCCTCCAGGCTTTTGCCGCAGACTGGAGCTCCTGCGGGTGGCTCTGTAGAATCCCTGACTCCATTCCTGGCAATCTCATTCCCTGGGCCATTAATCACACCAGGCAGTTTCTTGTAGTAACTGTTCAACTACACACACCCTCCTGCCAGCAAGTCAGCCCTCAAACATTATTAAGTAAAAGCCATTTCCATGCAGTTAGCAGAGCCACCACTCTCAAAGGCAATACAACTAGTCCTGGGAGGACCATACTTCATTAACTATCACTGAGAAATTAAAAGAACCATTGTTTTGGCATAGAATATTGGTGTATACGTCCCCGGCTGCTTGGTAGCAACTAACTAACCAGAATTAGGCAGTGTTGCCCCTCTCTTTCCCAGCTCCTTCAGGATCTCACACCGGGACAAATAAACATGGGATTTAGGTTGGTTCCTGCAGCAGTAAAACATCTGCTAAACAAAGCAGTGGAACAAGGAACCCTCTAAGGGATGGTAATACCTGAATACGACTGGAAGCCCACTGGGAACACAGCTCAGGTTTGCAGAGACCCACAAAACACCAATGCAAAAAGGACTCCTCCCATCCCTGCTTTTTGTAAGGGTATGAAGGGAGAAAGTGACTTTGAGGGCTGGACAAGGAAAAGAGTTTTCTTGCAAGCAAGTTGTGCAATCCAGAGCCCCAACCGTTGTATTTAGAAACACTTTTCTTTTGGGAAAGGGAACCAACACTAACCCTCTCTGAGGCTGGAGATTTCCAAGCCAAAGCTAGCCAGCAGGCAGAGATGATCAGATGAATAAAAATGATTTGGTAAGCCATTTGCCAGCAACAGGACATCTTCAGAGAGAAGGGAAAGTCGGCCAAGCAGCTTCAGGGCTCCATCCTGGTACAGCCTGCGACCTGACAAAGAAAATGGAAATAAACATCATCCAGAGACCAGTGCTGTAGATTAACTCTATAAAGTTGCAGGGGGATGCTTGTCAGTGCTTTCCTGTTCTTCCCCTGATGAGCGAAGACAGCCGGCACAAACACTGCATGCACCTTTGAACCCAGATATGAAAGCAGCAAGCATCCTGTAATACTGCTGTTCACTGGTTTCATACACTTGCAGGTACAGGAATAATACAAGTATATACTAAATTCACCAGGCAGTTGCTTACATGGGAAGTTCCTTTCCTGGTACTAAGTCATAGCAATAACTTCAAATTCCCCCCTGAGGAGGAATTCATCTCTTCCTTCCTAACCTCCTCCCAAAGTTGATTCTGACATGATCCAAACCAGCTCAGGAACAGTTCCTGGATGCATTTACACACAGTCTTTAACTAACAGAACTCCTGTTTCGGGTAGCAGAGAGGTGGTGCCATTGTAAGGCAACCAGAGTCACCACCTTCTAAGGCCAGTGTGTGGTTTCAAGTCAGATCAGAAGTCCAAGCCTTGACCTCAGGACGCCCAGCACTGCTGGTTACCAGGAGCACAAGAAAGATACTTACACAAAAGAACAGATTTCATTCTGTTGTAGCTTCCTCAAAAGTCTACATGAACCTAAGCTAAGCAGCTCCAGTTTTTCCATAACAAAGATACACAGCGTTTTCTCATGTTACCTGAGCAAATTTTGCTTGCACTTTGTGCATCATTTCAAAGTCACACCCTCTAGATCCACTCCAGCTTAATGAAATGCATTGCTGCATTCTGGCTTGCCTCACAGCCCTCTCCCAGTATCACAGGGATAAGCTCCACATTGCCATACTCACCCCTGCTCTTCCCATTCTCCACTGGCTCTGCCGAGTAGAAGATATAATCCACAGTGCATCCCAGCCCCATGGGCATCGTTGTGACCTCTGGGCGTCCCCTCTGTGGTAGGAAGTGGCTGTAGACAGACGTCAGGTTGAGGCCATGCTGGATAATGCCTGAAGACCTGCACATGAACAGCCAGCGTTTATCAAGGAAGGAAAGAGGATAATGAAGTGTTCGGTACTGCAGTCACAGCTGAAGTCAGATGTTTCCTTGCTGATGCAACTGTCCAAATTATTCCTATTTTGTGAACGCACAAAAGACCGTCTTTCAGTATTATTCACTCTGCTTACACCAAAGATAAAGTGGACTATGAACTTCCTTTGACTCAATACCCAATCCTGTCTATGCCCATCATTCTCAATCTCACCAACGCAACGCTGACAGAACAGCACCCAGCTGCTGGAACTACCCTTGGTGGATCTGGCTCTTCCAGACAGCCCTCCTTTCTCTTCTCCACCCTCACATTTATTTCAGTCTTTACTTCAGCCAGACTTTCAGTGCTCAGGAAAACAAACCCGGGCTTCAAGAGTGGGGCCACTGAAGGTGCACCAAATTACCTTGGGATGAATGGCTGGGGATCAGGGTCTTCCACCATGGCAGCAGGCTTCGGCCAGTGTGCAGGGCAGTCTGCAAAGGAGCAAAGAGATTCCAGCCAGATCTGCATAGATCCCAGAACAGGTTGCTCATCCCAAGTCTACAAAGCTTCTTCTAACACCAAATGAATCTTTTTGCCCAAGAAGAGCAGATAACTTCCAGTCATAGGCACTTTAAAGAAAAATATTCAAAGAAAACTCCAGCTCTAAGACTAACAGGAACATCCTGAGAGCAATCAGTGCAAACAACTGAGAAGTCATATTCTGTCCTGCTAAGTATTATCAAAGCTCAGGATACTTCCCTTTGCTCTCAAAGAAAGCTTATTTGCCTTAGCCTACAGCTTGCTCACAAGGGTGTCTAGAAAGGCAGAACAGAAATGCAGAGAGCAGAACCAGCTATGCCACAAGGCCTAGAGGTGAGGCAGTGTCTACTGAGTACTGGCATCCAGAGACATTTATGCTGTGGCAATTGTGACGTTACAGTCTTCAGGTTTGCTCTCCCCCACCAAAAATCTTGAAGCAGAAAAAAAGAAATATATATATGTATATTTCACTTTGTAAGAAGTTCTTTGAGAAACACAGTCAGTGTGTATGACAGTGGTATGAGATTGTGCTCCCCTGAGCACTGGTGGAATCCATTACTAATCCCAGAGCCACAGAAGGCATCCTTCTGCCTTCCCCTTCTCTCAGCAGGCATTACTTTCACCTCACGTTTTCACCAAAATCGAGCTAGAAGAGTAACAAGCTGAAAAATCTCCCATTAATACCTGGTTTAGCATCTGTCACACCTTCCAAGAGGACCAGCTGTGGTGGTCGTTCACAAGCAACATCACAAAAATGAAACTGGAGCAGGAAGTCCCGGCTGTACTTACGTCTGCCTGCAGAGAAAAACACAAGTTAAAAGAAAAAAATAACTGCAACGAAGTCACATCTACAGGGAACATCTGCATACTCTTTAGACCTTTACAGCTCTTAGACCTCTTTAGTTTGAGACGTTTTTGTGCTCAAGAACTCTGAGACCATGATAATGGGAATCACTTAATAACCTAAATGTAGAACAGAACATATGCATGAATGTAGAAGAACAGAGCACAGTTATTGTTATTGCTTTCCCTAATCCAACAGTCACGGTCAGCACCTTCACGAAATAAATGACGAATGTCACCTCTGAGACACCACAAGTTCAAGGGACTTTTAAACAGATCAGTTAGTGTGCAAGTCAAAGAAATGTCTGCCAAAAAAGAAAAAACAATTCTGTATATCAAGTTGAATACAAGTTCTACATTCAAGATTCCAACAAAAGCTATTTAGTGGGTGCTTTGGGGTTTTTCTGTTTGTTTTTTTTTTTTTTAAATCCTCTCCAGGGACAGTAGAGAACAGTCATGATTGTAACTGGGGTCTTAGGAATGACTGTGACTGCTCAAAATCATTCCCATAAACACCTGCAGCTGAAAGCTGTGGCTGCTGAACTTGGTTTACAACTGCACAAAAGCCTAAGTCTGGGAATATGAAAGAGATACACAGAGCAATCGTTACTGGTAGAGGAACATTCAGCTCCTGACTAGAAAAAGAAAATGGCAGAAATCGGCCTACAGCAATAGACTCCAGAAAAATTAAATTTAATTCATATACCAAAGAAATGGATAGAAGAGAATCTTTGCTGAGTGCCCCACACAACACATGCCCAAGCTACTCAGGGAGACAGCAAGGCCCACAAGCTGTCCATCCTCACCAAACTCATGTTCTCAGTGCACACTGGAGCTCACCTGGTTTCTTTGGCTGGCACAGGGTGACATATTGGCAATTGTCTGTTATGCCCAGTGAGCTTGGCCACAGTGGGGCTAGCAGTTTTCGACAATACAGCTGTTGGGAAAAGTCTTCCTGACCAGACACCTGCAAGGAGGCCAGAAATGGGAAAGGAAAGATCAGCAGCCCAGAGCAGAACTTTTGCAAGCTATTGAAAATCTACGTAAATACACTTGCCAGGAGCAAGACAGGAGAATGCCCTCACAGAAAGGCATGAACTAAGCTATTCAGATTATAGTGCAGATATAATAAACCTTCCATTGTGGGGGACAGATAAAATTAGCTAGAAGTCACCTGACAAGATACTTTGCAGGCATCTGTTATTGAATTGATGATTTAGCTCGAAAGCCAATGATGTATTTGATCATGGATACACACTAACAGGTAACCACAAGAGATTCTAGCACAGGTGCCCATTTCAAACTGTTTTCAGATCAAACATCCACATAAAATTTCAGTTAAGTCTTGGTGGAGTTGTATTCCCTACACTTCCAGTCACCCAGGCACAAAAATCCCATAACCTGAACTTAAGTGGTCTATTATCACTGGTCTGCCTCAAGGGAAATCAAAAAAGCAATGGTGGAAACAACATGCACATATCTGTCTGCCTCTTTCCTCGGCAGTGCTGGAGGCACTGGGGAAGGCTGCTGAATAACTGAATTCAATATTCAGACTATTTCCTCACAACAAAAAGAATGCAGCCATACAATTTTCTAGCAGCATGCAACAAAGAGCTACCCAATCCTGCTTCTGGCTGGCACCTACCTTCCAGGCTGGCATCCCATGGTAGGAAAGTTCACCATTCCGGATGAATTTGTAGAGTGGAGAATCAGGTACGGAGTTCAGGTCTCCACACAAGATGACAGGATAGTAGCTGCCTTTAGTAGTTTTTGCAATCTTGTCAATCTCTGCTAGGAGCAAGGCCATCTGGGCCAGTTTGATATCTCCCCGACGGGGATTGAACAAGATGTGAGTGGTGGCAACACACAAAGGACTAACTGCCTCCGGATCTAGGCCCTCTGGGAGCAGAGGCTGTAGCAGCAGCACCAGGCCCACATTATCCCGATCCAGGATGCCCAGGCCAGGTCGGAAGTATTCTACAGGGCTGACAGTGATCAGCTGGAACCTACTGTGTTTATAGCACACTGCACAGCCATCTGTCTTCGTCCCAGTTCTCCGTTTATAGAAGCATGCAAAGCCTGAAAAGAAACCATCACCCATTAGAAGGTTTAGCCAGTCACTACCTTGGGTTCCCCACATCAGCTGGGGAGTTCAGCAAGTCTGTGTAGCAGAAGAGGTTCCTACTATGTTTGCGTACAGCATTATACCCAATTCTATTCCAATAATCACAGTGTACTCTTTCTTTGCCTTTCTAAGACACTCTCAGTTTTGTTACTCTGATCTGTCAGCTCTGAGAAAGATCAGCTACAACAGCCTCCTGACAAACTGAAAAAGCTCTCTCAAGATCCAGCACTGTGAAGACATTAAGCTGCTTGCCCAGTCCCATGAGCTGGAGATGCACACACAAAAGTAGGACATACCCATCTCCTTGAACTTCGGTTCCAGCTGCTCCCAGTAATGGTTCTCTTGCACCTCCTGGAGACACAGGACCTGGAAGGCAGGCAGAGACCTCACTCACTCCACCAGTATTTGCTAGTTACCTTGTTTTGTGGAAGCAAGAAAGTGGAAAAGTATACTCATATACCAACCCTGCAACCAGAAAGGTCATCACTGCAACTCTGGCCTGTACTTTCCAGATAGGAATAACTTTATGCATCACATTAGCTTATCATTCATTGTTACAGTGACGAGGAAGATGATCCTTTGTCACACAAAGAGGACTCAAGGAATAGAGAAAAATCATCAAGTCCTCTTCTATGCAGGCTTCCCTTACTGTGCTCCCTTACAAACCTGGTCCTTTCCTCCCCAGACACACATTATCTCTTCTTCTGCTGTTTAAAGTAAAGCCCTGCCATCAAAGTATGACTAGTTTCTAAAGTAACACAATGAAAGCAAGATAGACACCAAAAACACATATGTATGCACAAGGCCTCAAACACTCTCAGAGGAATCAGTGCTCAGTTACCAAGCAGGTAGTATCTTCCTAGGACTTTCCCCAACATTCCCATTTTTAAATGTTGTTAGGTCAAACAAGGAATTCAAGTTCTGGTGACGCTGATGTGGAAAGGGCTCAAGTCATACTCACATCAGGATCCCAGTGCTGGATCTCCTGCAAAAGGTTTGGAAGGCGGTAGTCCCACTTCAGGATGTCTGGATGACAGTGTAAGTAGAGATCAACGCCCTGCTCCACCAGGTCCTGGGCAAGGATGTTGTAAGACATGACTCGAAATTCAAAGAGAGGAGTGTTTTTCGAGACCTGCTCTGGCACACAGGGCTGGGCAGAAAGATCCTCCCAGTCTCTCCATAAAATCTCTACATGCAAGAAACAAAAAGCCAAGTTAGAGCCATACGGGGTACCCTGCTGATACTTTTGTTTCCCTGGGACCCTTAAAATAGCCATTTTCATTCACAGAATGATAGAATGGTTTGGGTTGGAGGGAACCTTAAAGACCACCTAGTTCAACCCCCCTGCCATGGGCAGGGACACTTCCCACTAGACCAGGTTGCTCAGAGCCCCATCCAGCCTGGCCTTGAACACTTCCAGGGAAGGGGCCTCCACAACTTCTCTGGGCAACCTGTTCCAGTGTCTCACCACCCTCACAGTGAAAAATTTCTTCCCAATATCTAATCTAAATCTCACCTCTTTCAGTTTAAAACTGTTTCCCCTCATCCTAATGCTACGCTCCCTCATAGAGTCCCCATCCCTCCTGTAGGCCCTCTTCAGGTACTGGAAGGTCTCCCTGGGGCCTTCTCCAGGCTGAACAACCCCAAATCTCTCAGCTTGTCCTCACAGGAGAGGTGCTCCAGCCCTCTGATCATCTTCGTGGCCCTCCTCTGGACCTGTTCCAACAGGTCCATGTCCTCCCTGTGCGGAGGGTTCCAGTGCTGGACACAGTACTCCAGGTGGGATCTCACCAGAGCAGAGTAGAGGGGCAGAATCACCTCCCTCGACCTGCTGGCCATGCTTCTTTTGATGCAGCTCCAGACATGGTTGGCTTTCTGGGCTGCGAGTGCACACTGCTTGCTCTAAGCTAGGGTGTTCTGGTCCCTGAGCAAACCTTCACCCACTCTGGTTTTCAGATGCTTTTTTTGGATGCCTTTGGATAGTTGTCAGTGGGGATGGCATAACAGAAAAACAGAGTCAAGCATATGGAAAAACTCAACCAGCTTTTGGGTGCTTTTCATATTATACAGCCAGTACTTAGGAACAGTTCCTGGGAATCGCACATATATATGGATGTTCAAACCAGAAGGTCTAATATCACAGAGACTACTAATTGTAGCCCTCCCTCAGCAAAAACTTAGTTTTCACTAACCGATCCTGTCAATTCTGCATGGAGAGATAAAATCAATGTCTTATTGACAGCAAGCCCAGCCACAATAAACCTGACCACATTCACTACAAATGGAAATCTCAAACTGAACATTAGATTCAGAGCTGTTACTACTGACCGTGGTAGGGCACCTCTGTCGGGAAAGGATAAAACTGTACCACATTCTGAATGGGCCAGGCTGGGGGGTCCGTTGGCACAGTCTCTTCTTCACTGGCTAAACTCCATGCCAGCACAGCTGGGTCTTCATTCTGCACTCCCACATCCAGAGCAGCACAGCCCGCTATCTGGTGATCTGTCTGTGGCACCACAGCTGCCCAAGGGGCACTGCCTGCTACAGCCACTGTTTTCTCTACTGGTAATTCTGCCAGTTCAGCCAGTTCATGATCTTGCGGTTCTGAAGAAGCCAAGGTGTGTAGCTCTGTCAGCTGCTGACCAGCACACCGGGTGACTTCTGGAGCCGAATTCAGGTCACTGAGGCTAGTCATCAATAGCTCTGAACCTTCTAACCAGTCACTACTGAGTGCAACTGATACTTCCCCCTCTGCTGGAACACTCTCGCTGGCTGGCAAATTCCCTGCTCCTTCCTCCAGCCACTGCTGGAGAAGGGCTTCTTGCTCTTCTGGGACTGATCGTTCGCTGGTCGCAGCAAAGACGCCTTCTATCTGGGTGGACGTGCTCTTCGCCAGAAGCACAATCTTTCGACAGGTAAAGAAAGCATCTGACATTTAAAAACAAACAAAACCAACGTAAGACAGATGGAAATCTTCTCTCACTCACGCTTTTCTTTTTCCTCTACGCATTTGCTACAACTCTGTGCAACACAACCATTCAATATAGCAACCCAACGAATGACGTCTCTGAAGAAAAACAGCTGCAGTCTGAAAAACTTACCTGCCTCTTCCTGAACGCTAGGCCACAGTCCAATTCTAGTTGTGTCAGTCAAAGTCGCTACAACTGTACAGGATGGCGACAGCTTTACCAGCTCTAAGGAATGGAATTGTAACTTAGACAGCACCACAGCCAGTCAGCCAAGCTAAAAGGCCACCTCATGGAAACTATCAGCTTCCAGCAACACCTGTAAAGGCACAGCCTGTAGAAGTCAGCTGATGGGGTGTGTGGCCTAAGATGCCAAGCTCTTGTAGATGACCCCTTGGAGCAAGTTTATCTCCAGGGATTGAGTAAGAAAGTAGTCCTCAGCTAAAAGGATCAAACATATAACAAGATCGAAAAAGAAAAACTGTTCTGTTGTTAAGAGATGAAAAATAAAGACACAGAGGGGGCAGCATATGCAGTTAAAAGCCTTATTAGAGAGTATATGCACAAAAGAAGTCCTGGTAAGAATTACAGACCACCTGATGACTGACATTTGTGGTAAAAAAAAAATTTAAAAACCCCTGCTCTTAATCTAACACTTGAGAATACTAATATTGGGGGGGAGGTAAAGTAGAAAAAGACAGGGAGTCTTTTCACTTCATCTATACAAGAGATGTCGGCGTTTGCATTTTGCTATGAATTCTGCACAGACACTACTAGTCCCGACTGTTGACTAGCAATTAGTTGTCTACAAATCACTTTTTCTCTACTGTATCCCTGTGGCAGTCAGTCAGCCAGAGCAGTAACATACAGGAGTCAGTAACATCCGCGTAAGCTTTTACTGTTATCTATCATGTCAAAGCTTTCTGTAAATGTCAGAAACGGAGTTTTAAGAACCATGCTCCTCTCTATATTTTTGTAATTAAGTTAATGAACGTCAGAAACACCAACGCACCAAGGTAATATTTTTGCAGCCAGGCACAGCTGTTACCAGAGCCTGTTACTATGGGATAGGAGCTGAATTTGAGAGGAGTGAGCTAGCAGCTCACTATGACCACAGTGAGCCAGTGGCTGCCACAGGCCTGGGGACAGGTTCAGGTAGGAGGGTGGTTTTACATCATGGACCTGGGACCGTGAAGCAGCGATAGGATCTAGGAAACTAAGTGAAATACTGATGCACTCAAAGCAAGAGTCCATCTGTGAGCCACCTGCAGGTCCTGGGGGAGTCACAGACCTCAGAGCAGCCCATCTCCAAAGACCATCCCAAACCTGCAGCGCAGGTCCGGGGCAGGAGGCTGGGGCCTCCACACAGACTGCAATGTGCAATGTGCCAGCACCACAGTCAGCAGCTGCTTCCTCCGAAAACCCAGGCTCCCCGCTGCCCCGGGGGTGCGCAGCCCCGGCCCGGCACAGGTGTCCACGCCACCTCGGCAGCAGCCCCAGGCCTGCCCGCCTCCCCTGCCGCCCAGGGCCAGGGACTGAGGCAGATACGGGGCGGCCCCGGCTCCTCGCCGCCGCGGCCCCCTAATAGTTGGAGTCCAGCTTGTTCTTTTCTTTTAGTTATGAAAATTTGTGATCTGCTTAATTTTCTGTATCATGGGCTCCGGGGTCAGACATTAGGATAATTTATGTAACTAAAAATACAGGCTGGGACGGAAACAGGATCCAGGAAGAGGGCAGAAGCATTAACAGCTCCTGAATCTGGCAGAGATTCCCAGTGAGGCTGCAAGGCACTCACCGCGCCGCGCCGCGCCGCAAGGGCCGGAGGCCGGCTGGGGCCTGGCCCTCCTCCTGCGCTGCTCCGGGGCCGCCCGCCCCCGGGAGGCCGCGGGTGGGGCGGTGCCTGCCCCGGTGCGGGTCGGTGCGGCGGGGCCCGGCTGCACTGCTGTCCCCGGCGGGGGGGGTCAGGAGCTGTGACCCTAAGCTGGAAACCTGTGTTTTCAAACAAAAGTTTTCACACGCGCACGGTCCCTGGAAATTCAAACAGAAAGGAAAATTTCTAGGAATTCCCCCCCCCCGGAAAAGCCGCTGAGCAAATAAAACTCCACTTGCTCCAGAGGAGTTAATAATTAGCCAGGCTTTGCAAACACAGCGGATGGCAGTGGAGGTTTTGCAGAGTGCGGGCTGTGTGTGGGGGTGGGTGCCATCTCCGGGTGTGCTGCCCACCGGCCCCACAGCCCCACAGCATCACCCCGCTCACCGGGCAGCCAGCACACTCCCGCCTTCGCGAGTTCAGACCCGTCACAGGTTGAAACCAGACAGTTTGGTATCACAAGAGAAGTCCTGGTTGAAGCCCACGTTTTCCATGTTTTGCTTTGTTCCACATTTGAATGTGTACAACATCTAAAGGCAAACGGATGGAACTGAGCACCACTATGGCTTTTTACAACAAATACACACTTCTAATGTGGCATCTCGGTAGCCTTCTTCCAAACTCTCTTTAAGATGGGCACTTGCAATGAAGTCAAGATTGTGTCCTTCCTGCCTTTTGAGCTGATGAGTGCTGCCAAACTGCTCCCTTCACGGTGACCAGCTCCAGTCTCATGGGTTACACTTAGACAAAACACTTCAAGAGGGACAACCTGCCCCATAGCCTATTTGTGTATGGTGATTAGCACAATGGGTGTCCACGGCTAGGGTCTGAGCTGATGTTATAATGTATATAAATAATAATACCACCACTCTCATTTTCAAATCCCCAGTTATAAAACACGACGGACCATAGACACAGTGACTTGCCTCAAATCCCACAGACGTCTCTGGCAAAGCACGGAACTGGGTTGTGGTCCCTGACCTCCTGCTGCAGTAAGCAAACCTCTGGAACCATCATCGGTTTCTAGTCAGAAAATTTAGGGTGTTCTCCAGAGGAACAATCTGCAACATTAAGGGCTGATGACTGGGACATTTAAAACAAGGCCTGTTCTTTAAAAGGAAAGATCTAAGAAAGTATCTTCAGACCCAACCCACATCAGGATAATAGACTGAAATCAGAGAAGAATGTTAACCAGTGCTACAAACATGCAAGTATCCGGTCAGCCACAGTTGTTTGGCCTACACTAGCAAAAATATTTACAAACTTTGGCAACAAAATCAAAGCTGACAATGGTCATCTGCTTCAGGGTCAAACCTTCCACTGTCTTTTTTTGGCGTTTTATTCTGGATCCAAATATAACCCTACCAAGGCCTCTAGCGACTGGTCTACTTGAGCAGTTTACATAGAACTTAAGGGAATAAAACCACTAAAAATACCCTATCCTTGGGGAAATGGACTTTTTTTTCCTCTCTGTATCACCCATATTACATTGTGTAGGCTACATAAACTTCAAAATCTGTACAAGCAATTATGTTCATGAAGCATCACCCATAATGGAAAGACTTTTAGAAATCTGTATATGTGTTAGCTCTGCCTAACCTTTATCAGAAAGCCTCTTCTGTTACAGTTTTGGTTGCAGCCCCTTAGGAAAGGTCACAAAGTCCTTGGTATAAATGCTGTAAAATAATAAGCACTGAACCAATTTTGGCACCAAGAGGAGTTGGTGGGATGAATGAGTACTTGATTCGAGGCCCCATTAAGTGCTGACATGTTTACAAGCCACACTTTCTTACCGAATGCACGGGGAATTTGGCAGTAGGGAAGTCTGAATCTGTTCAAGGCGAATGCAGTCCTTTTAGAATGTAACTGCCGCAGTCTGGCTTTCTCATATGGAATTGTGTAAACTGGAATACAAGCTCAAAGGAGAGGAGAACTTTTACCAGCAGCCTCGCATGACTCCGATATGTCTGGGAGGGCTCACAGCCAAAACCACAGCTCTTCTCAGTTGCTGGGGACCGATGGGCTCCAGAGCATGGGCTTTCCAGCACTGAATGTCACCCCTTGGAATCGGAATCTGCAGGCGAGGTCACAGAAGAGTGGCAGTGGCAGGATGTGCCACAGACTCTGCAGGGCTTTCTCGTGACACCTGGCCAGATCCTGCAAGTGGGAAATGGGATTCTCCTGTTCACAAGCAGTGTAAATCAAGAACAGATCTTACAAAGTGGCACCGTTCCTCCTGGAGATTTTTTAACTGTAGCCAAACGGCTGTGCTTTTTGCGTGTAGGTGTGAGGAATTTACAGGGTCTAGGAGGTGGCTGTGAACTCTTCATTTACAGAAGAGAAAAAGCAAATGAACCCACTGCTTACTGGTGATGAGATGGAGAATGAGTCTGAGGAGGATGCAGGTGCGCTGTTTACTTAATAGCAAACTCACTTCAGAATAGTCAGAAATGGCCAAAAGAAAATCTCCAGCACTCAAGAGGGACTGAGGTTGCTGCAGGCTGGTCACCAGGTGGGAACAACGAGGAGGAACAGGGTGACAGTGCCCTGAGCCAGGAGCTGCCATCCAGGAGCAGCTCAGAAAAAGTAAAATGCATCAGAAGAGGGCTTTGCTAGTACCACCTGCCAGGGAACTCCACCCAGCTGCCCCTACTTCCTACAGGAGATCTTGGAGCTCAGCACCTTGTGAGACCAGATCCTGCTTGAGCCCTCAATTGCCCAGAAGGACAGGCAGGGCGCGAGGGGCAGGAGTTTTTGGAACCAGCTGCTGTCAGGCTGTGCTTGTGCACAGCAGAGTCTGGCCCTGGCTCTGTTCACAGCTTTCTGGCCAGACTTCCTAGCTTAGCGTAACGGTTCCTCCCAAAATTCAAAGCCTCTTTTGGCCTGTCACTTAGTCATTACAAATTAATTTCTTATTTTCGTTCATAACGCAATTACTGTAAGGTAGTCAGATACATGGGACAACTGCTCTCTTTGGTACTTGTTTTTCTGTATTTAAATAGAGTATAATGCAATTTATGAAGTGTTACATAATAATTTTCCTTAATGCTCTAATAGATTATATCCTTTATCAGATATTTTCCATTGTTTCAAAATGAC